TTAGTAACTACAAAAAATAAGAAAGAATTTATGTAAAACTGGAAGACTGATTTCCTGTCATTTAAGAGAAGGATTTCAGCAGTAGTTGCAATATGTTGAAGATGTCAATTATGGAAGATCTCTTAAGCTTAGACTAAGAAAAGCAGAAGACAACAGCATTAGCCATGGAATTAGCCATGGATGAAACAGAAAGAAAACAGGCATTAGGGCTGTGCCACAGAATGACTGCCTCTGGCTGAATATGAATATACGAGTGATTGATACATTTAGTAAAAGGTGCTTTCTGGGTCTGGGGTTTTTTGCTGTTTTCCAGATTAGGTAGCATCTCTAAGTCAAACATGTTAGTGATTCAGTTGGAAAAACTGCGTGCAAGTATTCATACTCAATCTAGGAGAAATTAGTATCTTCATCTGGTAGTAGTCTCTTACTAATTATACTTTGCCTAACATACTCCAAATAAAAATTTCATATCCATTCTAGCTACTGGAAATAAAATCAGAATGAACTATTACTGATGTAAAAGAACAAACTTATCTGTAAGACTTCTAAATCTTACCTTTCATTGGGACTTTAATTTGAACTATTATTAGTTGAAAGCCTATTTCATATACAATTGAAATTCCAATTATATCTGACCTTCTCATGAAATTTCTTTACTTGTGAGCTAGTATCCATTAGAATTCCTTATACTTAGTAAGGTTTCCTTTTGCATTCATTATCTCCATGTCCCTTCTCTGTCTGTACTTATTTACCTCTGTAAAGCTAGTATCCATTAGAATTCCTTATACTTAGTAAGGTTTCCTTTTGCATTCATTATCTCCATGTCCCTTCTCTGTCTGTATTTATTTACTTCGTATCAGTACTATTATTCACTTGTTAATCTTGAACTCTTTTGATTAGATTTATATTAAAAGGACATCAATAGATGTAAAATGATGTCAACAGATTCTAAACAGAATAGTGAGCAACTTCTTTGAGGTTATATACACGTGATATGTTTAAACATCATGAAATTTAAAGATTAGGTTACTTCACAATATTTCACAGAATATACTTTCAGGCCATTCCAAATTCCAAACAAAAATGGATTGAAGAAATTATGATAAAGCAGCAATGCTGAAGTCATTGAGAGCACCATTTTATGAAAAAATGCATTTCTAAACAAATCAATGTCTCACTCAATTTCTCACTATATAAAAAACCACACAAAATAATGCACTTAACAAAATGCCAATTTAAAGTTGTTTGTAGAAACTACCAAATACTTAAGTAATTTGAGATGTTTCTTTACAGTTCATAGTAAAACTCTTTTTTCCTCAACTGAAAGTGTCTCTATAAAAGCTCTAGGGAATACCATTACTCCAATTTCTCATATATTAACATTAGAATAAAGAAAAAGTCCTATGATGTTTTCAGCAAAATTAGAATTAAAACTAACTCCATACCTGTGGTGTGAGAAATTTTTCAACCCGTTTGGCTATAAAGCTTTTCTCCAATATGGAGTTTACTGATGGTCTATTCCTAGGATTTCTTTTAAACAACTGTGACAGCAGATTACGTAGGTCATAGGAGTAATGCATAGAAACAGGAGGAAAAGGTCCAGAGATTATCTTCAGTACCAAGTTCTTCATGTTACCAGCTTCAAACTGTATCACACAAGAAAGAAAACAATTACTACTTATTACCTACTGTCACTGTCTGTCCACATGTAAGGCTGCACATAAAGATGAAGAGGAAAACAAAAGAACACTACATCTTCCCTTGCCTCAACATACCGAAACAAATTTTGAAGGCCATCAACAGTTTAAAATTATCTGCTGCCAAGTGTTCTGATTATAAATGCATCATAATACACATATTTCATACTATAGAATACAAATTTGGCTAACAAATAATTATTTCCCTCCAGATCTAGACTGACAATGATATATAATTAAGGATAAAATAATTATGTAATTATCTGCTTGATCTCATCTCCCAAACACTTTCAGCCACCACATGCCTTCTGCCCTTTTTAGCAAAGCCACATTTCAAATGAAAGCATGTAAAACATTCACACTCATTCAGTGTAAAATCTAAAGGAATGCTTAGACTTCAGCTCAAGCTCAGGAAGCAAAGCACACCATTTCAATTCCTTTGTACAATAAAAAGAAACCAGTACGTATCACCCAGCTCACAGAAAACAACCTATTGCCATCAATTCTCAGAAAGGCAACATTGACAGCATTGCTGCCACAGAAAAAAACAAACAATACGAAATCAGAAAAACTTGAAACGAAATCCTAATCCCTTGAAATTTTTCTTCTGATTTTCGTGTTTTCATCTTTTTTCTTTTAATAAAAAAGCTATTTAAAACCAAAATACCACAACCAAAACAAGACAAAAACTGTTTTTTCTGCCCTTCCTAACCAGAAAATGGATGATAAAGATGTATTCTTCAGAGCAGCACACAAAAAGGCAACTCTTAGAAAAAAGTCCCTAGGTGAAAAAACTATTTCTGTTTTAAGTAGAAATGCATTAATTCATCTGCAAAAAAGCCGACAGTCCAAATTCAGACTTTCAATGAAAATGTCAAGTTTTTGAAAAGAAAGGAACACCGTTCACAGTATCGTTTGTTACAGCACCTAACAAATTTTTCAGCTAACACAGTTCATTTAAAACCTATGCTGAAAACAAAATACACAATGCTAAGATTTCTGGAGAGATTGGCGTGAACCAAAACACAGATGGAAAACGTTGGTCGGTATAGGAAGAGGAGATTAAAATGTTGAAGATAATTTTAAACAGTCATTATGAAAGCTTTTCATCAACTGTAACACATTTGCATAAAATCAGGAAAAATCTCTGTTTGAAATCACTATTCTTTTAAAGAAATAAGAAGTTTCTACTCACTGCATGTTTAAGTGTGCACATTTCATAGAGAACACAACCAAGGGCCCAGATATCACTAAATCAAAGAGAACATACTTAAGAATTAGTTCTAGGTGTAACATTGCCAAGTAACTTACATCTGTGAATTCTATCTTTGAAAAAGAAAAGAAAATGTTGTATTTTGAGTACGTACAAGCTCTGTATCTGTATGACTTCATTATCTGAAGCAAGCTGTGCCACCTATCTATGCATGTGCTTAGAGAATCCAATTACTGTGTTTCTGATTTCATCCTTAACATGGTTTCACATTCATACTGCATAAATTAAGGCAGTACAACTAGTGTGCAGATAGGCAAAAGTAGAGCCATAATTAAGAACACAGCTAGATCCAGAACTCAAGTTCACATTGCTTTGTACTGCACAGACCTACTAAGGTACCACTTGCACAGTGCCTTCTCGGGTAAGAGAGGAACTAACAGCCGTTCACCATCACATGATTAGAACAGCTTTAGATTTCTAAAGAACTCACTTTCTTCTCCTTATCAAAAATATTTAACAAAATCTTACTTGTACCTTTTATTGTTGTAAGGTTTGTTCTGACATATTTCAGGCGACAAATAGTATGGTGTTCCTATGCAAGTGCGAGCCAACTCAGCAGTACTAAGGAAAAAAAAATAAGAATAAATGTTAACTAGTTAACTCCATGAAGTGCACAGATTGTGTTCTCCTAGATCAAAGCGATTTAGATTAAGTCAGAGAAAACAGCATCAAAAATTAATTACCTGTTAAGAACTCTGGCGATCCCAAAATCTCCCAGCTGTATTGTTCCATCTTTGGTTAAAAATATATTCTTGATATAGAAATTTTAAGAAGGCTGTTAATTAAAACATTCATACAATTGCACACTTTTTATTCTCAACGTGTTTTGGGAAGAATAAAGTTTTCTACCAGTCAATCACTGTGAAGTCACTAGCAGTAGTGTTATTGACTACTATGAAACGCCACACCTATTCTAGTCCTACTTCATCAAAATTAAAGAAAACACTATTACACATTATAAAATATTATCTTTTCCGTCCCCACATGTAAATATATGAGTAATACCGAAGTACCTTCATCAAATAGCCTCATCTGCTTGTACAAATATCATATAAACCTCTTCCAGACAATTCTGAAGAAATAAGTGTTTCCAGTATTAGAAGTGTTTACATAAAAAGACTATTTTCTGTAATTTGCCAACTTACAGTAGCAAGATATGAATGTAAACACTTTGGAAGTAAATTCAGTTTAAAAATAATTACCTACATACCTGTGACTTTATGTCCCGATGCAAGATTTTTCTATCATGTATATGTTTTAGTGCTAAACAGATTTGTACAAACCAATCCAGAATCTATGCATAAAAGAAAATGCAACATCAGCATCATTATTTACCTGAAAGCTTCTGCAGTTACATAACTGAAGATATTATCAAATCAGTTTTATAATTATAACTCAGGATTTTACCCTCTTCCCACAAACCTGTCTTCATTTATACCATAGAATAATTAAAAATGTAATAGTACTGTCACTATAATGCAGACTTTTTAATGAAACGTGCCTATTACCCAAATTGGATACTAAGTCTGAGACTACTAGTTTTCTTGCATACTACAAAGCTTACAAAAGTCTGCAATAGGAATTTGATTGGCTAAGAAGTTAAGACATGGGACTTGCTTCTCAAATATTGTACTTTTGCTGTAACCAATACAAGTCGTCTTGAAGTCAGTGAATCAACCAAGAGTCCTAAAAAGCCATACTGATGTTTACAGAAACACTTATTTTATCATCCAGTAATTTTATGTATTTTACCTTAAAAAGAATAATAGAACAAAGCAGCTTTCAATGAGAAAAAGCAACAAACAACATATAACTAGAAGATTACATTCAAGCCAACAAAACCCATTTTTTTGTAAAGCTGTAAAAACCACAATATAAAAAGGGACTAATGGATAGAACTTTTCCATGTGAATAGTGGTTTCACATTCCCAACTTGAGGTACCTACATGTCAAAATTAAGTATAATGCAAGGTGTAGTTGTCACTTTTCCATTGTAAATTCTTCTTGTAAAGGTGATCCCAAATTAGAAAAATGAAAAGTTTTACAAATTATATCCCAAAAGGTTCACGATTATCCTATTTTAAATACCATCAACAGACATAATAGACTACTACGCCTTTCCAACCACAGGTAAATTGAGATCCTACTGGATGCAGAAACAAAAGCATAGAAACAATTTATGAGCAAGGAAATACACGTCAGTTCTAACTAAAAAATTGAATCCTACATAATCTATTTTAACTTAATCAAATCTATATATAAAATCCTCTCATTTATTCCAGATTGTCCCACAGTACAAATGACTTTACAACCAGTATCATAGAAAAAGAAAATCTGTTGGTATACTTCCAATACAATATTAAGTATTTTTTCTAATGGAAGAATAAACTTTCGAATTATGTTGTCCCGGTTTTAACAGGGATAAAGTTAATTTTCTTTCTAGCAAAGTTAATTTTCCTTCTAGCAGCTGGTGTAGTGCTGTGTTTTGGATTTAGGATGAGAATAATGTTGATAACACGCTGATGTTTTCAGTTGTTGCCAAGCAGTCAAGGACTTTTCAGCTTCTCATGCTGCTCTGCCAACAAGAAGGCGGGGGTGCCCAAGAAGCTGGGAAGGGGGCACAACCAGCTGACCCAAACTGGCCAACGGGATATTCCACACCATACGATGTCATGTTCTGTTTATAACAGGGGGGTGGGCCGGGAGGTGGGGCAACTCAGGGTCTTGCAGAGCATCGACTTCGGGTGGTGAGAAATTGTGATGTTCATCACTTGTTTTGTGTATTTTATTATTCTTACCTTTTTTTTTCCCCTATTAAATTGTCTTTATCCCAACCCATGAGTTGTTTGGGGTTTTTTCCCTTTTCCATTTTCAATTCTCTCCCCCCATCCCACTGGGAGGGGGGAGTGAGCGAATGGTTCTGTCATTGTTTTTAGCTGCCTAAACCACAACAGATGTAAACATTCCTATATTTCATACCACTATATTTACAAAGTATGGGTGTTTTATCCTTCTGATAAGTGAAAATCAGTATTACAGACCAAAAATCCTGTGCTGTTATATCTTAAAAAAAATTTTAAAAATTCAAAGGTTTAAAAATATTCATGTTGTCCTTCAGTATTTTTCATTTCTCAGATTTGGTTTACTTTGCAAGAGATCCAACTTCTTTTTAAAGCATCTTACACACACAGACAAAACCTCAATTAACATACCCGGGATTTCCAGCTACATTTTCTCTCTTTTTTTTTTTTAAGATACTACTGCGACTGATGGCAACAAGAATCACAATTTGAGAACCTCCTTTTAGATTAAACAACGTATCTACCAAACTGAACCAAAATAATTTAAAATTCATGAAAAAGTATCATGCAACAAAACACTACAGCAGCAGTTTGCTGTTACCTGATCTTCAGAGAATAAAATTCCTTTCTGAGCATTTATTTTTTTAAATAGGTCTCCTCCTTCACAGTAATCCATCACTATATAGAGACAGCCATTTTCTGTAAAATAAAACACAAAGTATTTTAAAAAGAAAAAAGACTCATCTTTAACATAACTTTCCAAATATCTTCACTGCAGTCACAGAAAAAGCAACAAAAAATTAACCTTTTCACATGCAGCTTCATACATCATTTATTAGTCCTTTTTTCAAACTTCAGGAAAAAAATGCTTTTGTTGAGTTTCAATAAGTTTCCCATTTCTGGTAACACCAGACTATTTTGATATGGAGTGAAAAAAATGACATCTGCTGAACAAATGCCCCAAAAATGGGGTTAAAAAACACTATGAAATTAAAGTTGTCGCTTTATTAATGCAATATAAACCCATTCTTCAACCTGCTTTCAAACATCCTATAGATCCCTGACCCTAAAAATAGAGATCTTAATTTCTAATTCAGGTAGTTGCCTCTATGTGCCTAATTCTTTCTTGGATTTTTACCTGTACAAGGTACTACTCGCACTAAGCGCAAGAAAACAACAATAATCAGCTCTCATATCAGACATACAGTTCATTTCAGAGACTGAAGAACAGTAATAAAACTTCCAGCAGACAATGACAGATGGAAACAATTATTTTCTCATTTTTGAATGAAATTTGGGGAGACTTCCAAAAATTCTATGCAAGTTTCTGTGAGGAGGTATGAACACATAAGAACACAAAGTTACAAAAAGTTACAGTACACATTAGGCATGATTTTGAGAAGAGCTGAATAAACGCACAAAATCAATCATATGCCGCTCAAAAGAAAAACTCCTGTTTAATGATAGAGTTAGTCATAGAACTTAAAAACTCTATTTAGAGTCAAAATTAATTAAATCATCTAATTAGCTTAAATTTCACTCCTGCAGAATTCTTCTGAAATCTGTCTTTCAAAACATCAAACCCAGGATTTTTCTTTTGTGCTTATAGCTGTTTGTATCTTGGTTAAGCTTTATAATCGGTATTATTTTAAAAGACGATCCAAGGAGTCTGGATTTCTTGCAGACCTGTTGCTGAAATAGTTCTCTTTTAGAAACCAAATCAGTGTGTTCAAACTCAATGTGCTTTAACAATAAAGATGCAACATGAAGTCTTGTGAACTACAGATTACAGGATCTACCTTCTCAGAAAAAAAAAAATAAATCTTACAGAACAGACCTTTATTACAGAGAAGACAGAAACATGGATTTATAAACTAGAAGACTATGGCTGTGCAACATGACTATGGCACAAAATTATAATTTCATTAATAGAAAAAATAAAAGCCCCCAATCAAAAGACATATGAAAGTCAGGAGAAAAGAAGGAAAGGAGAAAAAAAAGCAGTGTTCCTAAACCGTATCTCAAATAATATTTAGGAGTTTTAATAGTATTTTAATCTATAAGATAGGCTTTTGGAATCTTTTATCTGTTCTGCTCATCTCCTGAGACATTCACTGCGAAAACAATGTGGAATTACATTTCTCATTCCTTCAAAGCTCGATGAAACAAACAGTCCCATCTATTTTTCCTGCTCTGAAAACAATGATATGATTGTAATTACCGAAGACTGCATTTTCAGACAACAGACTTTTAGATAAAATTGCTCTTGCTGGGTTATCAATACTCAAATTAGCCCATACTCATATTTAATATACAGAAGCACTCAAGTCATTAGAGTATACACAAGTGTCCAAGGAGACTTAAGACACTGGATAAACAAGTAATCCTTTCATTTAAGCATCAAAATTGATGCATGTAAGGAAGAGACATCAATATTTCTGTTTAATTATTGCACTTTTTATTTATTGCTATTATTTTTAAATGTGCAGGGGAACTGAAGAAAATACAACCAAAAAAGAACTGAAGCAAGTAACAAAAGTATGAAAAAGACTGATTAAAGAAAGAAAACACAGTGACTTTTAAACTACATGCACTAAGTAGTGCGCAGTCACTTACTATCATCACTATCATTAGTTCAGGTTCTACTGTATTAATTCTTACCTTCAAATGACTCCCTATACAGGACAATATTTGGATGCTTCATGTTAGCCAATACAGCGACTTCTCTCCTTGATTCTTCTCTCTCCTTATTTGACATCTTAAAAAGGAAAATAACGATTTTTGAGAACAGGAATACAAAAAGAATGGATCAGTAATTAATAACAATCACTCACCTTAGAGATGTTTATTTCTTTAATAACATACTGTTGGCCATTTTCTTTAGCTTTGACAAGAATTGCTTTCCCAAAGGATCCTTCTCCAATCTTTCGCACTTTAATATATTTATCCATAGTTATCTTCTAAAGGCATCCTTACATGAGTACTAGGCAAAAACGCACAAAAGAGATTTAGTTAGCCATACCTAGCCTGCCAGGTCATGTTACATTTTTAGTACTCAAAATGTCAATCCATTTGTCTCCTCAGATGCATCACATGCTTTGTAGCTTTTCTGTAAATCATCTACTCTCAGTCTCAATTCTATTTTGGTACAGTTGGCTCACCTGGTATAGAAAAAGGGCTGCACTGCTAAACCGGTTTAAACTTTCATCTTGACAGACAGTATTAAAAAAAAAAAAAAGATGTGTTTATCTTTAAATAAAGCAAGTAGTGAGTAACATATCTTCTGATTCAGTTATCACACAAACATCATATAGAGCTATAGCACCTCATTAACTGTCTTTCATTCAACTTTACTTGGAAGAACCACAACAGCAGGGGGAAAAAATTCCTACATATTGTTTCTTAAGCAGCACTAAAACTAGTATTTTGGAAGTTAGTCACTACAATGAAGCCAAAATGGACTGAATTCGAAAGATCCCCATAAGTTTAGAATCATTATTCAATATAGAAAGGTGTGACCTTAATTCTGACTGAAAACATAGATAATTTATTTTTCCACGTTGCACAGAAAATAAATTCCTTACAAAATGGTGCAAATCAGTCTTTTTAGTGTACTATACGACCACTCAGACTACCTTTTGAGATTAAACAGATTAGTCAGGTGAATGTTGATGGTGCTTAAGGGTCTATATTAAAAAACACTGTGGTAAAAATAAGACATTAGTGAGCTGCATGTGGAAGGTATGGCAATATAGAGAAGCATCATAACAGCAAAGAGAATTGGCAAAACAAAGATCAAAGTGATAGACATCAAAACAAATTCATGCTGGACTAAAAGGTCATCTTTTCTACAGCAGAAAAAACTTCCATATCCTGAGGAACTTTCTGTAAGCTGAAAAAGACAAAAGGTTCCCAAGCTTTTCTGCATCCAAGCCTCACTTGAAAGCACTAACAGCATTTGTGCTTTGCTGTACCCAGCTTCCTTCCAACAGGAGACCCTACTGGCTTAGAGCCATACTTCACGCACATCTCAGGTGTCTTCTCCCTGATTCAGGATCATTTTTTGTCATAGCATTACCATGCACCAAACACAGATGCTGATAAGGAGTCTCAAGAAGATAAAGGACCCATACCATGGAAGCAAACTGAAATCAATAAGCTTGATTAGTATAGCAAGATGAAACACAAGAGAACTGAAGTAATTTTTTCTGCAAAATAGAAGATGGGAAAACAACCAGGACACTAAGGATAACTACCAGGAAGAAGAAAAGTGAAAATGACAGGCCTGCAATGTCTTGGTGGGATTTTGTGCCTCGAAGCATGGAAAGTTAGTGTGAAGTTGCACTTCTGAAAAAGGAAAGACTCAGTATTAACATTAATATTGTCTTTTGGGCAATGGCAAAACATAGCAGGCGGGGGACAATTTTAACTTCATGTAGCTTTACTAAGTTCTCTTCCTACCCCTGCTTTGTTTATGAAACAAGTATGCTGTACTACAGCTAAATCACCTACATTAGGGCGTAGCTGAGGGCTCCCACTGCACAATGTTCTGTGCAAATATAAACAATCAATAAGTGGCCTGTGGGCAAAAAGGTACAGTTCACTCAAACGGGGTATATAATTTTGTACGAGTTAGATGGCTCATTTTTACCCGCGGTATAGGAAATCCGAGTCTTGAGAAAGGATCTCAACGCTGACAGGGCGTTGGCTTTCCAAGCCCTGGGCGAGAAGTCATTTTATCCAGCACGGACACGCACGAAAGCCGTTTGCGCGCCGGGGCACCCCGACCGACCGCTGGGCGCTGAGGTGAGGCGACAAACCCGAACCGCACGGCCAGGCCACGACCAGGCGGACGGAACGCTACACCGCGAACTGCC